TCCTGCATAACCCCCCCAAAAAAAAAAAAACACTGTATGGAACCTATTATAGCTCATAGCGACCTCCATTGGCTTTCCAACATGGTAAATCTTTACAGAAGTAGATTGCTCCATCTTCCTTCCTCAGAGCGGCTGGTAGGTTTGAACCACCAAGCTTCTGATTAACAGCCAAATGCCTTAGGTACTATGCCACCAGAGCTCCTAGCATTCCTGCATTTTGAGTCAATGTTATTAAAATGTCAGTACCCTCTGATTTTTCACCCAATCTCAATCAGACATTCTTGGGAAGTTGATTATGTTATTCTGAAATAATAGACCCAGGAAAAATTATGGAAAGTATTAAAAAGAAAAACAAACTGGTGGGGAGAGACGTTTTTGGGAAAAGAGTAGGAACAGGCTCCATAAGTGTAAGTATATTTGCTACATTGATTATAACAGAGAACATGGGCAGATCCATGGAACAGAATGAAAATTAATTTGAAAAATAGAGGCAACTATATTTACGAACTTCATAAGGTTCAGCATTTGGGGTTACAAAGTTCTGTCTCTTTTCAGAAGAAACTTAAAAATCCTAGAAAATCCTGAATACAGACATCCCTCGGAGATATTGTTGCAGATTTAGTTCCAGACCACACAATAAAGGCAGTCATGCAAATTTGTTTGTTTCCCAGTGTGTGTAAAAATTATGTTACAGTATGCTGTAGTCCGTGAAGTGTACAATAGCACTGTGCACAAGTCTGAAATATTGTGAGAGTTATCAAAATGTGACAGAGACATGAAGTGAGCACATGCTATTGGAAAAATGGCCCCGAAGACTTGCTCTGGGCAGCCTTGCCACAAATGTTTTGTTTAAAAAAATAATAATAAAAAAACACAACCTTCGTGAAGCACAGTAAAGCGGAAGAGCAGTAAAACAAGGTGAAGGTGTGCCTGTGTATGGCAATGAAAGGCCCTATGTCAGGCACTCACACGTACCCTGTCTCATGAAGGCTCACCAACCTGATTGAACTTTTTCTCTTTTGTCAGAGGAAATGAGCCTGGAAAAGTTCAGTCAGAGAGCTGAAGCCTGTTTGATGCTCATTGTAGAAGGAGCCAAATTAAGGAATTGGGTGGGAAGAGCTGATGGATTTAGCTACATAAAAGTCTTAAATGCCAGAAATCATGATAAACATTGGCAAATTGTTACAAAGGCCTTGGGAAAAGTTTAACAATATGTATCTAGAGCCTTTACAACTGAGGATGCTCTTTAACCCTGAAGCAGTTCTGCTTCCAGGGCTGAAGGGAGAAAAATGAACCCTGTGCAGAGATAATTGTGAAGATTAAAGTACTCAGGCAAAATCAAACCTGTTTACATTTTGAAGTAGGATTGGTCAGAATGATGGTGCATCATACAATGACTGCTGTGGAACCCTAAAATGATTCCATGCCTGCGATTGTGGGGGGAGTCCACTGTGTGCGCCTTACACCTGGGGTGTGTATGTATTGTGTGCGTGTATTGTGGGTTTTTGTAAACAAGTACTTTTATGTGTGTGAACAATTAAATACCAGCAGGAGCTAGGAGAGACTATAGCTGACTCATTTCCTAGTTTTTCTGCATGGAACGTGGATTACACTTACATAAATAAGTAAATTAAGAATTAAAATATGTTTTCATAAACCCAGCAATTTCACTTTAATGTTTTTGCCCTAGAAATGTGTCTGAAAATTTATTTATAACACATAGATTGGAAAAAACCCAGAAGCACAGTATAGGGAGGTTAAATCATGGTGTGGAATCCTACATCACTTTTAAAAATTGGCTGCAGTTTTAAAAAATAAAATGTGTTTTAAAAAACAAGAATCTATCTCAAGCCATTAACACCACTTCTCTGGGCCTAGGGATTCATTCTTCGAACAGTTTATATATCTACTATTTGGTAACCAGACGTGCCAGGGAACAGGAGTATGCAAAATGAGTCCCACACTTTTAGGGACCTTATTTTTGGTTAAGGAGCTCTGGTGGCATAGTGCCTAAGGCATTTGACTGCTAATCAGAAGGCTGGCGGTTCATACCCACCAGTCACTCCTCGGAAGGAAGGTTAGGCAGTCTACTTCCACAGTGATACCGTCTCAGAAACCCAAGGAGGGGTCGCTAAGAGTGGAGATTGACTCTACGGCAGTGCATTTGTATTTTGGGTCATGACTTCTAATGTTTATCTTTTTCCCGATGTTTCTGTGGCGTATGTTACTGTAAAGTAAGTGACTACACGTGGAAGAATGCTGCCCGCTGGCTAGTAAAGCTTCAGGCATGCACACTCAACTGCCCTTTAGGTGTGACGGGTAGGCTCTTACCACTTCCGTTAACTGGGGTCCTGTACTTTGTGCTGATAACTGTCATCTAAAAGTTGTGATGCAGTGCCCAGGCACGTGGGCGGGTGGCCGAGGGCCAACCACCCCTGGCTGCCTCACATTCCACCTCCTCTCCCTCCCTGTCACTCCCCTCCCGCATATCCAAGTCGGATGTTTTCACATGTGAAGGTGGCTGAGTTCCATGCACTGTATGTTCAGGGGACCGTGGGTCCTGGGGGGCCTTTCCACACCACTGTATATAAACGAAAACACTATCCTCTGTTGAAGCTTAAGCCATTTACTTGCATGAAAAAATGGTATCAGGTTATGGTTTAAATGTGCCAAGTAGAGAGGGTATGGACAGTAGTCAGCAAGTGACCAGATGTTCAGTCCACAAGGACAGCTGCTCTCTGTACACCCAGTCAGTACCTGGGGGGTAAGCCCAGTGTTCCCACACATCCAAGTTCAAGAGATACCTGCTCGTGGGCAGCACACTCACGTTTTTAAGCACTTGAGTGGGCCAGGTGACATCTAGACCAGATTCAGCCCAACCTCTTAGCTGCACAGTCCCTCTACCCTTCTAACCCATCTTCTGATTTCCTGATTAACCAGAAGCAAACCTGTTGCCATCAAGTTGATTCCAACTCATAGTGACCCTTTTGGACAAAGTAGAACCAGCCTCATAGGTTTCCAAGGCCGTAAATCTTTATGGAAGCAGACTGACACATCTTTCTTCCTTGGAGCAGCTGGTGGCTTCAAACCGCTTGCCTTTTAGTTAGCAGCTGACATTTGACCACTGTGCCACCAGGGCTGGCTTATTTCCTGATTACTCATCCACAGTTCATGCAGGCCCTTGAAATGGAGCTTCTTGTTCCACGCTGGATGCTAACATTGCAGGGGCTGGCGTGTGCTGCGGATTGTTGCAGTTAAAATTGTATGATCTTCGTCTTGCTAGCCCTATCTATCTCATGTCCCTGGTGACCTCCGTATATCCCTTTCTTTCTGTGAGTATTCAGTGCTTGGAACATGGTGAGCATTCAGTAAAGTAACCGTTATTCCAGCCATCACTGCGCTTGTACCTCTTAGGGAACTTGTGCTTTCATGCTCAGCAGGTCATCCAGCATTTAAAGGAAAAGTAAAGATTGTCTGAAAAGATCTCTTCAACAGTGGTGCCCACAACTCTTCTTGCCCAAGCCAGCAGCAAACGTACACATCCGTGCTCAGAGATGTCAAGCTAGGAGCAGGTGAAGTTCCACCAGAAGGGATGCTCTTCTTGGGGTGCTCATCACAGAGACATCTGTTTTTCATTCCAGCACACCTTACTCCAGAAACACAAGCTAGTAGTCTCCGCAGTCTTTGTGGGTAGCCTTTTCCCTCTAAGGTCTTTGGTTTCCGTGATCTCATTCTTAGTCTGCCTGCTTGGTTGCTGGCCCTTTTTGGTGTCTGCTGTTGAGGAGCTGAGTGGGTCCTCATTCCTTTCCCAGCTTTGAGTGCCAGGCTGACGTTTACAACCTCTGTTGGACCTCTTCACCTGGAACGCTGGCCACACCAAACCAGGGGCATGGCATTTCCCTCCACACCTTGTCCTCTTGCAAGTGAACTGTGTATTGAGAGTGAGGTATTATCCTTTAACAAAATGCAGGAATGCTCATTGTTTCAGTCATCTGTGAGGTGCAGAAAAGCATTTAGTTGTGATAACAGCCACATCGAGGAGAAGGGAGGACAGTGCCAGCCCAGTTGGCTCCACTCCAGGTGATTGCTCAAAGGCTGGGCCACCAGGGCCCCAGCCCCAACTGCAGTGATTGAAGGAGGGACGGGTGGCCTCCCTCTGGTAATTCTGGTTTGCACCCAAGGTTGAGACCCCACGAGCGGACCTTTAATTGAAGGTAGAAGGATGCACATGAAGAGTGTTTAAAGGGCCACTGAGATTGTACCTGTGTATTTACCACGTGCACTGAAAACACTGAAGAGGCATGAAAAGCATGCTGCTGCTCTGGCTCACTGTGGTTGTATTCTTGGGCAGTTCTTCTGCAGATAAATTTTGGGTTTTGCTGTATTTGGACTTCAACCCTTACATGATCATCTGTGTACTCCCACCCCCATCATAAAATTAGGAAAATATGAGCAAAGGAAATAGGTACTAAGTCCGAGGCGTGTTACGATCCGAGTCTTGAGTCCAGTTAGGGCAGTTTGTTAGGGGTTCTTTAGAACCAAATTCTTAAAAATAGCTGCCATTTTAATCAGATTAAACCGTGTACTGAACCATTGATGCCCTGAAAGAAGAGGGTAGATACTAGTAAGAACTTATACTTAATTGAGAATATAACCAGTTTGGCTTTTGTGCAGTTACTGTATTCATGGTATAGATTTCTGTATGCTGAGAAAAATGCCCTCCTGCCAATATGTGGGGTGTGTATAAAAAACAAAAAACAAACTCACTGCCATCGAGTTGATTTCGACTCAGCAACCCCTTGGGTTTCCAAGGTGGTATCTCTACAGAAGTCGATTGCCCAGTCTTTTTTCTGAGGAGTGGCTGGTGGGTTTGAACCGCCAGTCTTCTAGTTATCTGTCAAATGCCTTCAGGGAAAATCATCTAATTTTGGATTATTTCTGTCTGAGCTTTGTACTCACGGTCTCGTTTATGTCCTCTCCCCTCTGTTCCCTTCCCCCAGGATGTTGCTTCTGAGTGTGAAGTCAAATGCATGCCAACGTTTCAGTTTTATAAAAAGGGACAAAAGGTATGTACGTGTGACTTTTTGAGAAAGCTAACTGGGAAATGGGGAAATGGGGGGAGTACCACAGAAGTGACTCATCTCCAAGTAGGAAACATGTCACTACTTCCACCTGTAAGAATAGTTAAATGTCGTCCTGTACTGATTTAAGTACATAATGTGACTAATTGAAAATTGATCTTTAGTGGAACTAGGCACTAAATCCCGTCATATTTGCATCATAAAGTGCACAGAGTTCCTTAGATGTGGGTGATTCATAGGTGCTGGTAAGGGGTATTTGTGTAAAAAAAAAAAAAAATTATATTTGAGCCTTTTGATTTTTTCCTTTGTTTTTAAATAAGATTCTGCTTCTCTCCTCCTTGCATCCTTCCCCCATTCTGTGATCACATATTATGCACTTAATAGAGATACAATGATACCTATAACGTCAACTCAATATTCTCTTAACAGGTGGGTGAATTTTCTGGTGCTAATAAGGAAAAACTTGAAGCCACCATTAATGAATTAAGCTAATCGTGTTTTATGTAAACATAAACAGCCATCAGCTGTTAAAAAGTTAACTTTTTTTATTTACAAAAAAGAAAGATCAAGTATGAAGACTATATACCCAACTGCCATCTGATTGTAAATGACAATAAAATATTAATTCTACCCTTTTTAAAACTTTGTGGTGTCTTTGAATAGCTTTAATAATACATGAGGAGTGGCCATTATGATGTTTAATATCCTAAGGATTATCATACTCTTGATCACTTAGAAGGCTACTAGCTAAGGAAACCTGGTGTCAAAATGGTTAGGCACTGTACTGCTAACCAAAAGGTAGGTGGTTCAGACTCACCTAGCAGCTGCTTGGGAGAGAGACCTAGACATCTGCTCCCATAAAGATTACAGCCTAGGGAGGTATAGACAGCAAAGGTGAACCCTTTTGCATGTACAGTACTGTGTTGTCAGTGATGGCAAACATTGATCTGTAGGTGGATAGATAGGTGGACAGGCTGAACAATCAGGTATGTAGGCAGGGGGAAGTGTGCCCATGACCATGTATAGGGTTAGCAGACAATGTTTCTACGTGCGTACTTGTATGAGCTCTAAGAATGGCTGGGTGTGTAATAGAGCTGACAAGGGGCAAGGTTGTGGTGGGTTCTTGGCCACAGCCATCTACCCTGAGGGAGCAAGTTGTTGGAC